GGCCCTGTGATAACTGGAGTGTTATCTGTGTAGGAGTGATGGCGGCGCTGCGGAGGTGTCTGCTCGAGGTACCGGAGGGGGCAGTCTCTATGCTGAAGGGAGAGCATGTGCAGAGCTGGCAGGAGCTCCTCAGCCATTTGGTGACCTTGCTGGGAGACATCAGCACCTTCCTCCTGGGGGTGCTCCAGAGCAGGCAGGGGCCCAACGCCAACCAGCCAGGTGAGGAAGGGTTCCCAGCCAGCCCACCCCACGGTGTCGTGCCCTTTCAACTACGCCTGCCTTAAGTGCCAAGAGCTCTTAAATTGTGGATTGCAGAGAGCCGGCTGGTCACAGGTGGTCTCATTTCCAGCTGCCTCTGCAGCCCTCCAGGCTCTTCTTTCCAAAGAGCCGGTCTGCTAAAGCCACCTGCTTCCTCTTGTTTCCACCGAACTGCCCCTAAAAGAGGCTGCTGCGCCATAAGAGGAGGAAAGGGGACTGGAGCGGCCAAGGAGAGGAGGAATGCCCAGGGCAGGATGACACAAGGTAGGGGGCCCAGCAGGAGAAGGGGCTCAGGTAGCCAGACAATGACTAGGGCAGCAAGGGTTAAGGCAACCCAAGTGACAGTGGAGAAGGGGCCCAGGTGGCAGAGAAGAATGAGCAGGAGGAGATAAGAGCAGACCAGGGGGTTGGGGAAAAGTGAAATAAAGGGCAGAAGGAGACAGCAATTGACTTTAAGAAGGAACACAGCACTTTAAAGACAACAAAAACCTGAACACACAACTGCAGTTACAACAGGGATGTCGTACAGTCACAATGGGAAAGCAGGGAGGGCCCACAGGATCATGGTTTGGAAGGGTGGGGTCCACACCACAACCTCTCTTTAGCTACTGGCCACGCTATGGAAGTTTGAGACAGACTCTCTCTTCCCTCCCCATCCCCCATCAGAAGATCATGGATTTGATTCTTCTCTCAGACTTAAGCAAGACCTCAGGTGACCATCTACCTTTATAAGGCCATTTCCATTCTCCTTTCCTCTGGATTTCATACCCATAGCAGGCTCTGCTCTAACTCCCCATCCATTACCTACGCTGTGGCTAAAATAAATCTGCCTTCTGCTTGTCTTTTTGCAGCTGCTGCCCCTTCATTTGCAGACATGGTAAATGCTATTGGCTCCCTTATCATGCTGGGGAAAGGCCTGGAGCAGCAGGATGGGGAGGACTCCATCCTGCTGTCCGAGGAGCACAACCTTATCCTGACCTGCTGCTGGGTCTCAGTGAAGGTAAGGAGCGTCCATAAGCGGCCTGAAGGGAGCTGAGACCCTGCCTGCAGAGTTCTGTCATCAAGAGGCTTGGGACAGGGGAGGCAGCCAGGACAGGGGACACCTTTGGTTTGGGAAGCAGGGGAAGTATGCAAGATACATATTCCTCTCCTGCATCCTCTCTGTCACTCTAGCTGAGAAGTGCACTGCGTGAACTGGGTCCTCTGCCAAAGAAAACCCAGGCAACTAAGGTGTTTGTTTTTTTTAAAGAATTCCGTTTACAGCTTGCCCTAACCCCAGTGCTGGAATTCCCCCTTTTCACACTCAGGGTGAACGAAAAGGGCCCTTTTCCCGGGCCTCAATCTGATTTCCTCTGTCAGATAAATAACAGGCCCAAACTCCTTTACCCCAGGGTTAAATACAAGCCAAGACAAACTCCCGGTTGGTGTGGACAGATCTGACTCACCTGGCTTCCTCACTATGGCACGCTAGTAGTTACTGCCTCAATGTCATTGCTGCCTCCTCCTTTTAAATAATTGACTGGTTTCCTGGGACCCTAATGGGCTCCAGCTGCTTCAGGTCCCGCCCCATTCCCCTCACCTCTCTGCACCAAACCCTGAGTCTTCCTGATTCAGCTCCTGTACTGCTAGGCCCAGGCACCAGCTGGGGAATGGATCCCTTCCTGTATAGTCTTGCAATAGGATGGCTTTTTAAATGAGGGCAGTTCTTCCAAGCATTTCCTGCTGTTGGCTAGTAAGGAGAGAGCACCATGGAGCCTTTGGAACAATGTGCCAGCTGTCTGTCTGGTGTCTCGATCACTAGAGGCGTCTGTGTAATTCTCTAGAATCTCTGGCCCAGATCCACAGTGCTGTTTGGGCACCTAACTCCCATTGACTTCGCTGCAAGGGGGGAGCCTAAATACCTCCGCTGATCTAGGCCTAGATGAAGATACTTAAACGAATGCGAACTCTGCTGCTGAGTCGTATTGTCACAGGGAACACGGCAGGACAGAAGCTCTTGGCTGCAGCAGTACTGCCCCTGTTCCAGGAGAATTTTGCGCTTAGTGATGATTTGACTCGGTGGATCAGCCAATTCCTACACTGCTCACTGAGGGTTTTGAGTGCCAGGCTCAGCTAGGGAATTATTTTTGCATGTTTGGAAAGGCAGGAGAGAGTTTTGCACCGTTCTGCGTTACATTTGGCTGCCAGACCAGAAAAGAATTGTAAACAGCTTGAGGGAGCATTAATTAGAGCCATGTTTCTTAGCCACCTTGCTCTCCTCCTTCAAGGCCCTCCTGAACATTCACTTCTGCTAGCACCTTCTGCTACCTGTCCTCTCCTGCTTACTTGTGCCACGCCTCAGCGTTACAAAATCAGATGGTTTTGTTCTAGCCATCCCCCCACCTCCTTTATCTGTACATTGTTTAACTCAACTTCTCAAGGCAGGGACCTGGGCTTCTTACATTAGTCTGCAAAGCACTAGTCTTAGCTATTGTCCTTTAGAAATAAGAAACGACAACCTGATTGATTTGCCTTGGCATTAAAATGCCTCCCAGAACTTGCCGGGTCCTTGCACAATAGAGACTTGCTGCTCTCTGCCTATCTGGTTTGGGAAGCTCGTTGATTCCTCTCAAACATCAGTGATCAAGGTGATGGGATAATCAGGGACCTGCTCTTGCTCCCACTGAAATCAGTGGGAGTTTTTACCATTTCAATGGCAGCAGGCTCAAACCTGGCTCAGACTGATCCTTGCCGGAGACTGCATAGGTAAAAATTCCCCACCTTACTGAAGCATTGACTGGGGTGGGGCAGGAGTGAGGGAAGGGCAAAGCAAAAGACCAGCTGGAGGGACTTTTCAGTTTGTGCCAGTGGAAACCGGGGCTGAGGCATGTCTGCTGGGCGCCATGTGCTCTCAGCAATTTAAAGCACGCTGGAACATAATGATGCTCTTAGCCAGCAATGCACCAAATCCCTCACTAGCGCCAAGGAGAAGAGGCCACGTCAATTCAGCGAGGTCGTGATCTCACGCCTAATTTGGTTTGTTTCTTTGGCCCCTGCAGGAAATAGGGCTGCTCTTGGGAGGCCTAGTGGAGAAGATTCTCCCTCTGGCACCACCGGCAGGGCCTGAGCCACTTCTGCCACTCACTGTGTTCAAGATGGCGGCTAGAGTGTTTCAGGAAGTGCTGCTGAAGTGCCGGCACTGGGTAAGAACAGCGTCTGGCCCGGATGGATAGGCTGTGCCACACCCTCCGTCCCATCTCAGGCCTGACAGGGGAGTCTCTCTCCCTTCTGAATGGCCCAGGGCTCATGTCACTGTCCCTTGGGGGCAGCAAGGTCTGTCATTTAAGGGCCATTCGTCAGGTTCCTGGGTCAGATTCTGCTGTTACACCCCGTGACACTGGAACAACTCCACTGACTTTCATGGGGCTACTGGGGACTTACAGCCGCGCAAAGGAAAGCCCCAGCTGGTCCATTACTCAGCAGATGTTTTCCCTCCTGAGTGTGGGTCCCCACCAGTGCTTCTCCATTTAACCCTTACAAGGGCCAACTCCTGGCCAAGGAGACGGCAGGGCTCCATTTGGAGCCAGTCATTACTGCTTTGGACAGTGGCAATGACCACAGCACAGCGTCCGACATCCCCTCACTTCTTCTTCCTGACCTACCTTCCTTGTGTCCCAGCAGTGAACCTGGATCCCTTTGGGTGGATGCAACTGGCCATGCCTCTGTTTCTTGGATAGCGCTATGGGCTCTGTCTCTCAGCCTCTGGGCTAGAGCAGGGGCTAGACAATGTGTGGTAACCCCAGTGGGGGTTTGATGTATCACATGAGACAAGCGAGTGGCTCGACTGTCCCTTTTGAACCCACACAGCGGAGAGTGGAGGTTCATAATTAGCTTCACCCACAAAATCTACTTCTCTGCGCCACAAAAATCTTCCGTTTTAATGTTTTATCGTGTAGGCCAGGAGCTTTGGCTTAAGCATGGGACTATGAGTCAGGAGCTCCCGATTGCTAATCCTGGCGCTGACACTTAACTGCTGCAGCTTCGACCAAGTCATTACATTTATCTGCTTCTGCTTCCCCATCTGTGAAAAGAGGCGAGTGTCTCCCTCATGGGGCTGTGGTGGGGGTTGATTAGAGAGCAGATGGAAAGCCCTTTGAACCTGCAGAGCCCTGAGTCTTCTTCTGTCCTAGGGAGCAGTTGAAGGTTGCAGCATGGGATTCACCAAATTTTGCAGTGCTTTGCTGAACCATCCTCATGCAGAACTGCAGGCAGTGCCAAGAACGATGCTGGCACAGGTATTGCAACCATTTCTTGCTCTAGGCACCGGGGGGAGGAGGTCATTCAGTTAAAGGTAACTGTTACTTATATTACAGAGGTACCCGAAGACCTCGGTCAGAATCAGGGCACTAGTACGTGTTCAAACACAGGAGAAAACAGCCCCCTTCTGTAAGGGGATATGGACTAATTAACTTTAATCAATTCAGAGTTCTGATTGGCAAATCAGTGACCTCTGACCCCTCACTCATGTATTGTTCTGAGCACATACCCATGTGTGTTGTTTTTAGAGAGGTTTAGAACAGTTGTAAATTTAAAGATCAAAGATCATCGCTGTATTCCCACAAATCCCTTGCTGGGGCCTTGTACACCCCAAAGGTCTGAGCATCCCTATCACTCCACTGAACCCCTCTTCCCAAACCAGCCGACAGCCGAGGACTAAGCAGAACGCCCCTTGGATCCTGCTCTCCCCTCTCGGCTGTTCAGTCCACGTGTACCAACCCTGAACAGTAACTCCTCACTTAAGGTTGTAGTTTGTTCTTGAAAAATGCGACTTTAAGCGAAACAATGTTAAGCAAATCTAATTTCCCCATAAGAATTAATGTAATGCGGGGGGTTAGTTTCCAAGGAAATTTTTTTCACCAGACAAAAAGACTACATTTATATATATATACACACACACACACACACACACACA